ATTTTTTTTTTTTTTTTATTTAGATATATATTACTAACTCATGAATATGGTGATAGATTTTAATTTACATTTATCATTAGAAAATTTTGGAACCAGAACAGAATCGTCCGATTCAGATTTTTCCATATCTTAAAATAAAAAATAAATAAATAAATAAAAATAAAACGTTGGTTCCATTATAAAAATAAAAACATTGATTCAAGGTCAACTCAGTTCTCTTAGAACAGAACCAAATGAAACTATGTTCACCCTTAAATCTTATAAAGAAATAAAAAATTAGGAAACTATTACATTATTTCACTGCAGTATAAAATGTTGGCAATCAACATGTGAAGGTTTGAATAAACCCAATGGTTCTAAAAAAAAAATAGTTAACACCAGAACAACTAATATCAGAACCTATGAATTTAATTCAAAAAGGCATGACTATAAATAAACAATATAAATGCAAGTTTGTTTACTTAGAAGAATCCATCAAGGTACTTAGATTCATATGCAAGATATATTTATTTAAGGCACCTATTGCAAAAAAAATTTCCATTCAAAATAGCAACTGCACCATTCTAAAAATATTACTCCTTCAGTCCCATAAAATCACTAGTCAAGTCCCAAGGGAAACATGAAGAATAATTCCAAGTTGAATAGTCATATGCTTCGTCTCGTTAATACCAAAAGGGCCAATTCAAGACCAACATGATGAATCCATATCTTTAAGCGCTAGATAATATCAACAAGAAAGAAAAGCATTTATATTAAATACAAGAAATTCGATCAAAGCAAGGCACCAGTGTAGAGGAGAAATAAAAGAGAATAGTGGAAAACAACATACCCCTTCATCTTTTGTAACATCTTCAGCAGGAATCACATGAGTGTCAGATCTGCATTTAGCATGCACTATAGGACCTAACTGAGGCCTATTAATCCCTTCTGATAACCCAGCTGGTGAATTCATGTATACAGCCCCCTTATACATCCACTCATCCATCTCATCACTATAAAAATCATCAAAAGTCTCACCACACAAAGCACAAGCAGTCTGATTCTCATCAGCAGGAACTGCCATTTCTTCATATTTCTTCTTTTCCAAAGTGTTTTCAGGAGGCAAAAATCCTGGAACTGCTTCTGTTCCCAATGCATCTGCACCATGAAGCCACATACTAATGCTCACAAACCAGCTGGGAGAAGGCTTTGTCTTACGGTTTTTTACTGTTCGGTTCTTGTTCACGTGCCAATCCATATGCTTGCTGTGCTCTTCTTGGCTTTTGAATCGATGGCCACATGTTTTGCATTGTCTTGGAAGATCAGCATATAAAGCACTTATAGCAGATTCATGATGCACCTTAAGGTCTGGCTCAAACTCCACACCCACTGAACCCTATACATTGTGTCAGATGGCTGTGAATAATTGTTCCTCATTAAGAGCTCAAGTCAAGAAATAATGACAAGATAGAGGACCTAAATGCATA